ACATTTTCCCCTTCCCCCAGCCCTGCTGAAGCCTGCAGAGTGCTTCTGGGGAGTGGGGGAAGGCAAAATCGTTTTGGTGAAAAACAGCCCGTTTATTGCCCATTTTCCACAAAATGGGATGCAGAGGCGGGGCTTCCGGAGGCCAAAAATGGCTGTATTCGGTGTATAAGACACACCAACATTTCCATGCTCTTTAAGGGGGAAAAGATGCATCTTATAGTCTGAAAAATACGGTAGTTACTTTCATTGGATAGAAGCTGTTTTTCAGCCTATTTGTCCTTGTTTTTATTGTCCTGTACCGGCTGCCAGATGGTAATAGTTTAAAAAAAAAAGGGCGCCTAGGATGAGATGGATCTTTAAGAATGTTTTGAACTTTCTTAAGGCAGCGGGAGCTATCAAGCTCTTCCAAAGAGGGGAGAGGAGCAACCCATGATCCTCTGGGCAATGACATTGACCCTCCGGAGCGCTGTCCTGTCTGCCCCTGGGCAATTGGCAAACCAGACACAGGGGCAGTAAGTTAAAATACTCTCTATGGTGCAGCGGTAGAAAGTCCCCTGCAGTTTTCCGTTCAGTTGTTGTTTCCTGAGAGTCTTAGGGAGTATAATCTCTGTCCCACCTCCCCCCCACCTTCCGCCCGGTTTCCTTTCATTTCTAACCCTCCTTTTTATCCCTCGTTTTATAGATTATGATTTTGGAGAAGTCTTCCCTGCAGTGCCGTCCATGCCTACCACAGCATGGGAAGGTGGGACCAGCTTGCCTGGTTTTCCAGTTCCCTCCTCCTCCCCTCCCGCCCGCCCCCAGAGCTTCCTGCATGCTGGGCCACAGGTCTCTTTAACACCGGCCGGTGCCTGAGGGGCCCAGCAGCCAGGCCACCAAGCGCTTCGGTGGCAGGCTCTTGCCAGCTTAAATATTGGCTCCCTCAGCCCAGGGCATCTGCTGCCCAGTTCCACAGCCTAAGTGGTTCTCCAGGCCCTTCTCTATGCCTAACCACCTCCTATAGTTCTGTGGCTTCCGTCTTTCCAGCATGAACCATCAGTCTCTTTCTGGTTTGCAAATTAACAAGCTTCCGGGGAGTGCTTCTGTGTTGGTGCCAGCGGTCTCCTCCTAACCCAGTGATGGTGAACCTTTTCAGTACTGAGTGCCAAAGCAAAATGGGTGTGCGCACCAGAGCGCCAGAAACCCGAAGACAAACTGGCCAGTGTGTGCATGCCTGTTTTTGGCCGTTTTTCGGACCATTTTCAGAAGCGCTTGGTCTGGCTGCTGGGCCATTTTCAGGCCGTTTTTGAGCCCTCTGGCACCTGCGAAAACCAGCTGGCCACTCCAGCGGCTGCGAAGAAGGGCAGCCTGAAAACAACCCAAAAGCGCTCTGTTTTTGGCCAGTCTTTTGGACTGTTTTCAGGCCATTTCCAGGCCGTTTTTGAGCCCTCTGGCACCTGCGAACACCAGCTGGCCGCTCCAGCGGCTGCGAAGAAGAGCGGCCTGAAAACGGCCCAAAAGCGCTCTGTTTTTGGCCAGTCTTTTGGACTGTTTTCAGGCCATTTCCAGGCCGTTTTTGAGCCCTCTGGCACCTGCGAACACCAGCTGGCCGCTCCAGCGGCTGCGAAGAAGGGCGGCCTGAAAACGGCCCAAAAGCGCTCTGTTTTTGGCCAGTTTTTTGGACTATTTTCAGGCCATTTTCAGGCCGTTTTTGAGCCCTCTGGCACCTGCGAAAACCAGCTGGCCACTCCAGTGCGAAGGACAGCCTGAAAACGGCCCAAAAAGTGCCCTGTTTTTCGGTCATTTTTCGAGCCATTTTCAGACCATTTTTGGGAAATTTCCAGGCCATTTTTGGGCCATTTTCAGGCTGTTTTTGAGCCCTCTGGCGCCCACAAAAACCAGCTGGCCACTCCAGCGCATGCGAAGGTCAGCCTGAAAACGTCCCAAAAAGCGCCCTGTTTTTGGGTTGTTTTTCGGGCCGTTTTCTGGCACTAACGAAGACCAGCTGGCAGGCGCGGCGGAAACTAGAATCTACACCTGCCATAAGTTCGCCATCACAGTCCTAACCTCTTACTGTCCGCCTGTCAGTGCATGGAGGCCGGGGGGAGGGGCTGTGGGGAACGGACGTTAAGCCACCTGATCTCGTGGCCACAGATGCTTCCGCCAGCAGCTTCTCTTTCCCAGCTGGGTCCTGCTAGCGGCGGTGGCAGTTGCTGCGGCCCTTTCTCTGTCCTTGCCTCTCGCGATTCTCGCCCTGCAGTACTTCGGAAGGCGGGTTGGCTCCAGGCTCCTGACTTAGCTCCTAACTCCTTTCACCGTTGAGCAAGTTGCTGCTCCCTCGGCCTGCGAAGGGAACAAGGAGAGCAGCAACCGAACGAAAGAGATGGAAAGTTAAACGGGTTGTCCCAAAGGTGCGGTTTTTTTCCCCCCAAGAGGCCCCTGGGCTTCCTTGGTTTTTCTTCGAAGACGTTTCGCTACTGGCCCAAAAAGTTTCTTCCGCTCTTCTTTGGGTCAACCGTGACCTGGATGACTGAGAATCTCCATAGACACTTAAACCGGTTGTGTCGTCTCCCGCAATTCATGGCTGAACACAGGTTTCCGGGAGGGGAGAGGGGATTTTGTAATGGAGTCATTGCAGAATTAAAGGTGGCTCGGTGGCTAAGACGCTGAGCTTGTCGATCAGAAAGGTCGGCGGTTCGAATCCCTAGCGCCACGTAACGGAGGGAGCTCCCGTGACTTGTCCCAGCTTCTGCCAACCTAGCAGTTCGAAAGCATTTTAAAAATGCCAGTGGAAAAATAGGGACCACCTTTGGTGGGAAGGGAACAGCGTTCCGGGCACCTTCAGGCATTGAGTCATGCTGGCCACTGATCACGGAGATGTCTTCGGACAGCCCTGGCTCTTTGGCTTTGATGAGCACCGCCCCCTAGAGTCAGGAACGACTAGCACATAGGTGCAGGAGGAATTTTTATCTTTTTAATTGAAGAATTAGTAGAGACTGCCCTCTTGATTTTCTCCCCCTGCCCCCCCCCTCTCCCGGATGCTTCCCCACTTGTAAAACTGACCAAGATGCACCGTCCCATTTCCGGAGTCCCTTCAGCCGCAAGGGGCTGCTCCTGAGGTGGGCAACCTATTGCTGTTAGGCAGGGTTATGTCAGGCTCTGTGGGGTTTGGCAGAGATCAGGAGCCCCTTCTCCCCACCCCCACCCCCCGTGGGTCTGGGCGGGGGGGAACGTCCTCCTCTTCTTCGTGCGTAGCCTGTGGAGCAACACGCCAAGATATCACCGTGTGTGAAATCAGGATGGTGAATTTTTTGAGCAAGTGTGCAAAAGAGTTGCATATGCAGCGTATCTTCTGAATGGGGACACTGCTGCTCCTGGGAACGGGGAGAGACAGCTGACCTCCTTCCTTCCTTCTTCCTTCCTTCCTTCTCCTTCCCTCTCGCATTGATTCCATACCTCCCATCTCTCCTTCCTTCCCTCCCTTCCATTGATTCCATCCCTCCCATTTTCCTTCTTTCCTTCCCTCCCTCCCTCTCTCCCATTGATTCCATCTCTCCTTCCCTCCCTCCCTTCCATTGATTCCATCCATCCTTCCTTCCCTCCCTCCCTCCCTCCCTCTCTCCCATTGATTCCATCCCTCCCATCTCTCCTTCCTTCCCTTCCTCCCTCTCTTCCATTGATTCCATCCCCACATCTCTCCTTCCTTCCTTCCTTCCCTCCCTCCCTTCCATTGATTCCATCCCTCCCATCTCTCCTTCCCTCCCTCCCTCTCTCCCATTGATTCCATCTCTCCTTCCCTCCCTCCCTTCCATTGATTCCATCCATCTCTCCTTCCTTTCCTCCCTCCCTCTCTCCCTCCCATTGATTCCATCTCTCCTTCCCTCCCTCCCTTCCATTGATTCCATCCATCTCTCCTTCCTTTCCT